TATTAACTAACCCTAAAATTCATATGTAAATTCAAAGAGACCCAGAATAGCCTAAAAATCCTGAAGAGGAAGAACAGGGAGTTTTAAAACTTACTACAAAGCTTCAGTAATCAAAACAGTGGTACTGGCATCAGGATGAATATATACAGCAATGAACTAGTATTAAGAATCCAGAAAAAAGCCCTCACATTTGTAGTCAATTGACTCTTGAAAAGATGAAAGACAATTCAATGAGGAAAGAATACTCTTTCAAAAGAGGTGCCAGGACAAGTGAAAGTCCACTTATAAGAGTTGGAGCCTCTTCCTTACATAATGTACAAAAATTAATTACAAGTGGATAACAGACCTAAATACAAGAACTAAAACTACGAAATGCTCAGAAGAAAACATTATAAATCTTTATGATCTTGGGTTAAGCAAAGCTTTAGATATTACAACAAAATTGCAAGTGAAAAATATATTAGAATCATCAAAATCAAAGGACATCATCAAGAGAATAAGTGGGGGGGAATGGCACATTATATATCAGATTAGAGACTTGTACATAAAGAACTCTTACAAATAATCTGATTTAAAACATGGACAAAGGTTTTGAATAATTTCTCTGAAGAAAATATGCAAGTCGCTAATAAGAAGATGGCATGCCAGTATTTAGGAATAAATCTGATAAAATATGTAAGAATTACACATTGTCAATTTAAAAATATTGCTGACAAATTAAACACACCATAAATAGATTTATCATGTTCTAAGATCTCAATTCAATATTGTTAACATGTTAATTTTTCTCATATTGATGTATAAATTTAATGCAATAATCGAGATAATGTGATTTAGGCATAAAAGAGATATTTACCCAAAAGAACTGAATAGGACTGGGGGTATAGTTCAGTGGGACCCTGGATTCAATCACCTATAGAAAGGAAGGAAGGGAGGGAGGGAGGGAGGGAGGGAGGGAAAGAAAGTAAGAAAAAAGGAAAGAAAGGAAGGAAGGGAGGAAAAAAGAAAGAGAAATGAAGGAAGAAATAAAAGCATATGCCCACTCAACAACTTATAAATGAATGTTCAAAGCAGCTTTATTTATAATAGCCCCAAACTTGAAAAAACCCAAATGTCTGTCAATAGATGAATAGATACACCAGTAACAGTATATCCATACAATGGAATACTATTTGGCAATAAAAAGGAAATGGACCCTCATTACAAACCAGCTAGTGGTGTGGACCTCAGGCAGGCATTTTCTTTGTGTGTGAAAAACATGCCTTACCAATGCCTTCCTAGTGGTTGGGCAGGAACTTGTATGCTAACCTATGTTATTCCCCAGGCAGATGTTGTCCCTGGGGTTCAACCTCTCTAAATATCAGTAGAAGCTCATGGTAGAATCAAAAGAGCTATATAAATTATTCCCCTATTAGTTGTCTTAGGAATTACAGCCAGGAAAGGAGCAAGAGTTAGGGAAATAGCATTTTCTGAGGCCGGCTATAACCAACTGTCAACACAGTTTATGGATAACGTGGGGTGAATTCCAGGAATACTTGAGACCTTATAAGACCAAGGAGATTCTCTTGAAGAGGTAGTCCTACAAAACAGATTTAAACCTGCTGACCACTGAAAAGGGACGACTCCTTGCATTCCTGGATGTGAAATGCTATTTTTACATGTAGGAGAAAATGGTGCATTGTAACTTTCTGTACTCTGTAGAAATGTAGCTGCATCAGTTAATTGTTAGTATGATTTATAGGTTACTATGCCAATAAACTGATGTCTGAACTACTATGCCAATAAACTGATGTCTGAACTATAACCTTGTAGATATGGGGGGTTTATACATATAGCTCTTAGGGATGTAAGCTTACAGTTATCTTGAGAAACTGCTAGGATGAAGTCCACTTTCTGATATCACTTGCAGGTGTCTCACTGCCTTTGTTCTGCATCTGTGAGCTGCTTATCATAAGAATTCCTGTGCATGGTCTATGGTCATGTGGGTCAAGAATTCAAACCCACCAATGTTGTAAATTTCCTATAAAGACCCATGTAATCTCAACTCAAGGCCCAGAATTTCAGAGTGATAGCTTTTCTGGGTCTGCCAGCGTCATAAACCTGAGTTCTCAAAAAAAAAAAAAAAAAAAAGGAAACGGACCATGAATACTTGCAATAACATGGATGAATCTCAAAATAATTTGGCTAATAAAAGAAGCCAAATTCCCCACCTCTGCAAAAAATAAAACACTACATGAGTTCATTCTGTGTAACTCCATTACATAAATTCTAAAAAATGAATTATAGCAACAGCAAAAAAGATCAATGGTTGCCTCAGGACAGGGAATAAAGAGGCGAAAGGCACARGCAGGAGGAATTACACAGAAATATGAGGGACCTTTTGGAGACAGTGCTTATATTCATTACATCTGCTGTGGTTATGGTTCTATGGAATATGAACATATGTGAAAACATGCTATTATATGCTTTTTATCATATGGAAATTATACCTCAATAAAGATGTTAAATAAGACTCATAAATGACATTGCAGATCAGAGGTTTTGTCAGATGGGTGGAGCAAAGAACAATGACGAGGTAACAGCATTTAGGACATTTGTATGAAAGTTGCTAAAATGATGAACCATGAAATCTAATATGACCAGAGTGGGAAATGAGAAGAGAACTGACTGAGCAAAAATATCAAAGCATAACTAATGAAGTGAAAAATGGGAAGGAATATAACTGAGTAAGGAAACTTGAGAATAGGAAATTTAGCTCTAGAATGAAATGAATTCAAATTTCAGAGGCAAATTCTAGATGACAAGAACCATGATCTCAGGAGTAGATCATAAAGTAGAGCTGATATAAAGGTCATAGTTGATGACAAAGAACCTAGGGTTCTGAACCATCATTTGTATGTTAAAGTCACTTAGGATGATGGCAGGACTTGAACTGAACATATAACCATTTGCTAAGATATCAAAGTCCTCAGGGAATGAAGAGGACTTCATATCTTAAATTTTGTATTTGCTTTAAAAAAAAAAAAATCCTGATTTGTCTGGAGCATTCATTCTGTGCTCCAGACAAACCAACCTCTAAAAATGCATTAAACTGAACAACTCCATCACTTACTTCATTAATTTCTTATTTTCTAGACTTACTTATTAACTATATTCTAAAGTTTACTCAGAAGTGTGAGTTCATATGGAACAAACATTTGAGGCAACATTACTACTAGCCAGTTTCCCAAATCAACAACACACTTTGTTTTGAGCCACAATGATTAATCTATTAGAATTTTAATATTCCTCAAACAAATCTTAAATCATTTATTGACTCTATGAAGAAAGAAAATAGTTCTAAATTCTTTTGAAAATGGTCTTACCACCAAGAAACATCCAATTCATGAAATTAGAAACTCACAATTTTAGGAAAGAATATTTTAATCCCAATATTCACTGACCTATTGTCATTCATATTTTCTGCATATGCTGCAAAACTAAAATCCCTTCTTACCCATTAACTAAAAGCATTCTATTTCAACTTTTGAATCATACATGCTTAACACAATTTCCATTTTTACAACAAATCTTCACCAAAACAAAAATCCACTTTCTTTTTTTCAGTGATAGGGATCAAACCCACAACCTTATATATGTTAAGTAAGGGCTCTACAACTGAGCACTCTCCAAAAATCCACTTTTATTTATAGAATCCACTCTCCTAAAAATTGGTATTTATAAAAATTGTCTCTAATGAATTCATAAAGTGGATATTTTACTTGTTTTGTTAATTACATATTAACAAGGTAAGAACATTTCATATGTATTTTTTAAATTATCTCATTTTTGTAGTGATAAGCCTCTTCCTTTACAAAAAATAAGTAATCATTATTTCTGATTTGTTAAAATTCCTAAGAAATTTATAAGAAAGAAAAGGGGGGCTGGGGCTGGGGCTCAGCAGTAGAACACTTGCCTTGCATATGTGAGGCACTGGGTTCGATCCTCAGCACCATATAAAAATAAATAAATAAAATAAAGGTATTGTGTTCATTTATAAACTAAACAAAACATTTTTGGAAGGAAGGAAGGAAGGAAGGAAAGAAAGAAAAGGGTATCTTGGTTTGTTTTCCCTTTTCACAGGTACTGGAAGTATATTCTTCTCAATGCTACTTGGTGGTTATACTGACCACTTGACTGGACAACTCAAATTCTACTACATCCTTTCTTTAGTGGCAAATGAACACTTTCAACTTCACTTAATATATCCATTTTAGATCTCACTGCTACTTCAAATATAATATATCCAAAACCAAACTCATAATCATTCTCAATATTTCCCCATCAAACACAGATCTTCTTATAGCTCTTTTTTCTGCTATAATGGTTAAGTTACCAAATCAACCAGGTTTCAAAATCCTTTTTTTCTGGGGCCCTCTCTTGTAACACATCCTTTCAATTCTATGCTTTTCTATTTCTACTGYTGCAATCCCTCATTACTTCATTGCTAGAACTACTGGTAAAAATTCCTGATTTTCCTTCTTCTGGTCTCTTCACTTTCAATTACATACAGACTTGCCAGATTAATATTCCTAAAAACAAATCCTTAATGACTCTACTTCCCTACTCGAAAGACCCCTTTGCCTAGCAAATATATTAAAATTTTCAAACCAGAAAATCAATGTCCTTTTACATCAACTACGCTTCAGTCAAACTGAACTCCTGTGGAATTTTATTTATCTCTCTATGAAGGTAGATATCTTCTAGCTACTACAGCTAATTTAATGTAGTTCTTACTCCCCCCTCATCATCTGCTGGCTATTTAAGGGCAGGAACCATATCTTAATATCTCCCCACAAAAAAAATAACACAGTAAGTAAGTAGCGTTTATGAAGGAAGGAAACTAAGACTTAAAAAACAAACCCAAAAAAAGCTCATTAAATTTAGGCTACGATAGTGTTTCAATTCTCATTTCTACAGTCTTTCCAGAATTGGTACATACAATAAAATCTATTAATTACCTGTTATTACATTTATATCTGGGTACTGGTTTTCACATAGAACAACAGCTTTGCTATCCCTCTCAAAAGCCTCTCGAAGTTCTTTCTTGACTGCTGCTGAACCACATAATCGATACAGGCCTACTACCTAGAAATAAAATTATGGCCACATTATGTTGTATTTAATAAATAAACAATATAATAGTACAATATAAATCACATAAACTTAGCAATCACATTTGTTCTGATCGCATGTATACCTCCAAGACAGCTATTGAAGTCTCACCATAGACAATGTTGTTTAGTTTTTAAAAATCCTATTATTTCATTTCAAACAATATACTATGATTTCTGCATTCTCAATAATCTTAAGAAAGAGGTGCAATCTCTTCTCTTCATACTGTCCAACCAGTATCTCCATACCAAGCATGTACCATTTCATATCTTTTGCCCTAGACTGATATAATGCAATACCACAATTAAACAATGGTTTTAGAGTTGTAAAGCTCCCCTCTGTCACTCTTTACTGGTAAACTTGGGCAGGTTATTTAATCTCTTTAAGACTCAGTTTCCTTATTCATAAAATAATTATATAGTTCAAACGAGAAGCCAGTATGCTATTTGTATAAAGTTTTCTAAGGAAAAAAAACAAAAAGATTTTCAGGAAGAAATAAAAGCCAAACTAGGGGGAATTTTACTTATGAAATTGATTATAACGTAACAGAAGAAATTTAATCAATACAGTAAAGATAAAATAAAACCTCTAGTTTAAAATTTATGTAAGTTGCATAAGTACTATTCAATCCAATAACCTACAATGAAAGATTTGTTTTAAAAAAACAGTTCATACAGATTCTGAAATATTGTCTTAAGAAGTTCACWATAAATTCACTGAGAAGAAACCAGAATGGTTGCTATAAGGAAAAAACCAGCCTAAATGACCTATAAGAGTTCTTTGAAAAAATAAACTTGAAGAATATTAAGGAAAATAAGTGGTTGTCACCTATACTTCCACGTCAAAGACTATTTAGAAATCTCAGTCATCTTGAATTGAAGGAAGAGTTATAGAGAAAGAAATTATTTCAAGACAGAAATAAAGCAAAGCCTCAAGAATTTGAACTAGGAATCACTATAAAATGTTATAAATGATCTACAAGAAGGTATACTCAAATGAAATTTCTGGGTTTACTTGTGACTTAACCTCTTAAGTCATGGAAAAACTGATACCACTAATAAAAGCAAAAGACAAAAGAAAAAAAAAAAAAACCCTGACAGACTATAACAGAGAAGATGGGTTTTAATGTGGGAAAGTATCAATAATGGATGCAGGGAAATGTTGTCCAAAATGTTTGAAATGATAAGCTCTAAGTATTAACTGAAAGACAGTAAAAAAACTAAAACTGTTTGTACAAGACAGTAATGCAAAGTGTTGTTACATTCAAAAGGATCAACATATGGGAAACTAAGAAACATGGAATAGGAAAAATATTGAAGTTTCTCCTCTTAACTATATTCCTGATGCATTTATGTTAAGAATAGCATTTGTTAGGCTAGTTGCATCATCTCAAGAAAGACAAGGTAAAAATTTAGATAGGCTATTAAATAGGCTCAAAGAAAATCCTTCCACAATAGAAGAAACTAACTTGATTATAGCCCTTGTGGTATAGGCACATTTAAGTGTCATAAAATCCTATAATAAGGATGTGCCTCCTTGAACTTGAGAAGGAAATGAACCTAGAGCAAATTTAAGGAAGTACTACTTAAACAGTAGACAACAAATTAACATAACATTTTACCTCCCAAAACTGAACTACAACATAGCCTTTAAATGGATGAATAAAGAAATTAAGATTGAATATAAGTATTTCAAGGATAGGGCATTTTAGGATATATTCCTAAATTTAGAATGCTGACTTCTTGAATCAAATTCATGAAGTACATGCTCGATTTCTCTATCAGAGCCAAATCTATACTGGATGAACCATAAGTATCAGTAATTTTTCCCACTGGAATCAGAAGACATAATATAGCTGCATTCAAAGTATTTAGATGATGTAAAAGCCCACGCCGCAAACTATTTTTATATGAATATAAAAACTTTATTTTCACAGTGAAAAAACAAGAATAATAACTGACAAAAAGGTAAATAAACTTTAAGAAACATGGTAGCCTGTAAAATGTAGAACAACAAGCCTACTTGTATGTGCGAATGCACGCAAGCAAGCATGCACACATAGGTGGAAAAGCAGCAAGGGAAAGAAATCAAAAAATGTTTTTAAAAAATACAGTTTCAAGGGGCTGGGACTGTAGCTCAATGGTAGAGCACTTGCCTCGAACATGTGAGGCCTTGGATTCGATCCTCAGCACTACATAATAATAAATAAATAAAGATATTGTGTTCATCTACAATTTAAAAAAAAAAATTTAAAGTATAGTTTCAAATGCCCAACTGTAAAACATTTTAGTTCGCAGGAAATCTTTAAAATAAACCTTTTTAGAATCTTTCAGTAAAGAAATAAAAAGCATTGCTAGAAATGTTTTCTTAGTGCTCAAAAAAGTAATTAACAGTCTTCACATACCTGCTCTTTATATCTCAAAAAATAAACTATAAAATACAATGCCACTTGAGTTACTTATTATAATATTCAATTGTAAAATTTTCTGCTTAATAACTAGCTTTAAAGTCTGCCCCATCTCTGAACTTTCTGCATACTAACTGAGGTGGGGGGGCAGGGGGAATGGAGGAAAAAAAGAGAAGCTTAAGAAGGAAAAGTAATTAAGAGAAAAAAAACTGGACTGTAAAGTCAAGTCCTCACTCTCACATCAACAACACATACTAGAGACAGAATTATGTATAAAATTTAGATGACCTCCCTCTTATCATTAGAAATGACTGGATCCACTTTTATAAATATAAGCAAATAAGACCCATAAGGATTAAGTGATTTGCCCAACATCACACAGTTAAGTAATAACAGTAGAGAAACCAGAATCCAGGTCCTCTGGATCTTAAGACAATACTCCACAAATGTATAGTTTCCACATTAAGTTCAAGGTGAGATGTTTTAAATGAAGACATAATATTTCAGATTTCATGATATTTACCCTTATTGTCTTTTGAGTCAATGTAAATTTGGGTGACTAAAGCAGAATTATCTCAGAACATTATGATTCTTAATCACAAGAATTTATGTGTCAAAAATTAATATAAATACTTTTTATATCTCAATAATATCCTCAGTCATATACTGTTTTTCATTGTCATACTCCATACCTATAAATGAACATAAAGAAAGACAAGGTATATTAACTGGCTAAGATTGTTGCAAATAATGCCAGAGTTTTGTTTGTTTGTTTGTTTCTTTTAATAGGTTGCCTTTCCTTTCTTATTTAAAAGGAAATGAGAGGTGTTCTTATAAGAACTCTCCTCATCCTACATGCTATATGACTTTCTAAGAACGGGACTATTATGTCAATCAATGGAAGGGTAACTGATGTGATTCAGCAATCTGTATACGGGGTAAAATTGGGAGTTCATAATTCACTTGAACCAAACCGTGTAATATGATGTATTAAGAACTATGTAATATTTTGAAAGACCAATAATAAAAAAAWWAAWWAAWWAAAARGAAAAAAAAAAGAGTAGGGAAAAAGTGGATAGAGTTAATGCGAGGAGTGAACAAGTTTATAGGATTCAGTATTAGAACCTTCTGTCATAAACTGTCAAACCATGTTATCAGCTTTAGCTTTTCCTAGCATTGCACTTACAAAGCAATCTTGATGCCTAGTTATAAAACCCATGTAGTTCTGTAACACAACATAAGCTCTGATCTATTAAGCTCTGAAATCACTGATAACACAGGTTAAAGTAATAAATTATACTCTAAACAGTGATGTAATAAAATAAACAACAGAAATAGGAAAATGTCTAAACTATTTTTTTTACCTTACCTTAAATTCCTTCCCCCAAGACTCAAAATCAGACTTATAATCAATTCATCAATCAATAAAGGAGATAGTAGAAAAATGCAGTGAAATATACCTGACAGCCTCTCTTTTCAATTTCCATAATACATTTCTGTATCAGGAGTGGCACCATCAATCCTACATTTTCTTTTTCTACAACTTTYTGAATGTCAACACCAAATATTACCGATTCTCGATTTTTATCTAGTCCATGAAGAGAATTTTCCCACTGTTCCATAAGAGTCATTTTCACATAGATAAGACCTCTAGGTTCAAGTTTGACAGCCAATTGATGTGTCTTTGTCACTCTGAATAAGGTGGGAAGAACAACAGTTCCATGACAGCACACTCTATTTTTTCTTGGAGTGGGTTCCCAACTAAATACTACTAGTTTTAAATGTTGTGCATTTTCAATTTCTATATTGAAAGTGTGATCCATGTCTAAAAATGTGGTTCGACATGTGAGCAAAGCTGTTCTTGCTTTGTTTACTGAATCTACCTGAATTGCACAAAAGACATCTTTTGAATCTATCCGTGGTGGTTTTAAATCCTCAGCACCATAGAAATGCACACTCATGAGCCCAGATATGTACTGTGAACACTTGGGTTGATCAGAAAAGTTATAATGTCTAAAAGCATCTATGTCTATTTCATTTTTACTACAACTGTTTGGAATTATTTCTTTTCCTTTTCCAAATTTGCTTTCAGATCCATGTTTGCTAGATTTAGTTATAAGTTCAGGTGAGTCTCCATCACTGAGGTAACCACCTTTGCAGGAATACTTCAAACTCATGGAGATTTTCTTCTGGTAGCTGTGCTGAGAAGATACAGTGGTATCAAGATGGTACCGGCTTATGACATTCCTCTTGGCAGCTGTGGTAGTGTTTCCAGAAGGTAAAATAACAGTATGATGAATTTCTCGACAGTTATATTTAGACAAGGAAGGAGAATTATCTGRACTGTTTACATAATTCAGGGTTCCCTTAACACCTAGCTTTCGGCTAAATTCTGGCAATCTTTTCATTTTCATGGAAAGTTTCCTCACAGTTCGTGGAGATTTTATTTTATCTGGTAAAGACCAATTAATTGAACTGCCTTTTTTCACAGGGCTAGGGCTTGGAGAGGATGGTTCCATAACTCCCAATTCAGTCCTACTTGTAGCAGCTAAGATTCCAGGACCTTTAAAAAAGAAAGAAAGAAAAATATTATAAAAAGATATGTTATGATTTTTCTTACTCCTATTTTATAAACCATCAACTAAACAAGGTCTCACATGGATAGGAATACTTCCCTGTTTCATCTCAATGGGGAGATTAGTTTGAAGTTCAGGTCAGTCTTCATCTTCATGTTCAAAGCAGAATATCAAGATCTCCAGATGGTATACAGTACAAAGAAGCATCTCCCTCTCCATCTGCTATTCTGAAGACTTGGAGGAAGGGTAATGCAGATTCCTTTTTAACATTTCCCACTACAATATACTCCAGTGAGCATATTATATATTAGAAACTAGGAAAGCTTCTTATTTTAAAATGTTAGAAATGCTATGCTAATAAGAACGTTTCTTCTATATTTATAATCTTATAAAGCTAAATGTTGCCACTTAGTAGAGCTAGTTTTTTAAAAAGCTAAAAACAAAATAAATTTGTAATTTTGATAGCTGAGATGCTCCTTGTTCTAAAATTCTATTAGAATGTGTCACCAAAGTTTATGTAGAGCTATCTAGTCAATCAAGAATAACAGAATATTGAATATCATAAATGTAACTGAATAATTTTAAAAACTGTTAAGAAATCTTCCTTATTGTGTTATTTGTATACAATAATTCCACAACTTCAAATGTTAGTTATGGTCTTTAACTGCAACAGAGTTATAAGTTTTCTTGCAATTTTTAGTTTTTATAGACAGTAAAACCAAGAAATGCTTTTGAATTTTTCTCCATAYAAAAATGGCTTTATTCTTCTTTGAATGTCAAAATTATTCAGGTTTATGGTAAAAAGTTTTTAAAAATACTAAGAAGTATTTTACAAGTACAAATAAAGTAAATATCAGCCTAAACTACATATTTACAGATTAGCCACTACAAATATTTTGGTGGAAATAATACTAAATACTAAAAGTAGTTTAATATTAATAAATTATTAATATTTCATTATGATTAAGCAATGCTACCTGACATTTATTGAGCTACTTAATATCTGTAGTCACTTATTTAATTTTCATAGTAACCCTGTGAGTTAAAACCATTAGCACCACATTCTCCAGATAAGGACTCTCAGGCACAGAGCTGAGTAATTTAAGATCACAAAGTTGGCAGGTGGTAGAACCAGGATCCAAGCCACAACATTGGTTTTCAGAATCTATGCTTTTAAATATTATACTTTTAGCTCCTCCATTCTTCTACACACTTTTTTGTCCAGCCATACATATTAAACAGATTTTAAAGACTTTTTCTCAACTATTATTAAAATTTTCCATAACTTCCCCAGCTTAAAAAATGGTCAAAAAATACATTTAATTTTTAAATTTGTACTTGTTCCTAGTAAATTTTCAAACTAATAATACAGATTAAAAATATCTTCTAAAGCTGAGGTTGTGGCTCAGTGGTAGAGTGCTTTCCTTGGCATGAGTGAGGTACTGGGTTCAATTTTCAACACCACATATAAATAAAGAAAGAAAATAAAGTTTTTTTAAATCTTCTAAAACCTGATACATAAATTCTAACTTTTCCTGTAAAGAAGCAATCTAATCCCAATTATATAAATTTTTTCAACTTTTTTTCATATAACCATTCTTATAGAGGAAGATCTAATAACTTCAAAATCAGAAGTTAATCTATAAAAAAAATCAACAAATTAAATGACCTTTCTTTAAAGTATTAACATAACATTCTCCCTCCACTCACTCTGTGCGTCCACACAGAGAATTAGTTTCTTTATAGACAGAGTACTATTTTAAGTATGCCTCCTGGGCCTTTCTGGTAAACAGCTATTAAGAAATAAAGTGTGTGATAAATTGGACAAAGCATCCTCTATGTTGCAAATCACAGCACAATTCTACTGGCTTACTTGTTTAAAACATTCTACAGAAATCAGGGTCCTGCTTTACAAACATTAATCTATTTTGTCACAGCCTAGGAAAACCAACCAGTATATTAAACTGTTGTAGATTTTATTAAATTGCTAAGGAATTTAGCATACTGACTCCTTTTACATATTGTAAATAAATAATTCCAACTGAAGTCTTTAATTGTTAAAATGAAATACTGTACATGTTAGCAACTTCTATTATAGACAAAAGTGTATTTATTAAAACAAAGGCTTTTTGTTTTAATAAAATCCAACAGCTGAAATATTACCAAATTCCACAATCCTTTAAAATTAAACTAGAGCTACACTAATCAAATCACAGAATAGCTATATACAGCAAGCACACACACACACACACWCAAAAAAAAAAATCCTTAAACAGAAATTTATGTACCAGGCTTGAGTCAAGAGAAAATGATACACTCCTTCAACACCTGGAACAGTAACTGACACAAAGCATGAACTCAACATTTGTTGAATAAATGAAGGCATCAATCAACCAATTATTATTTGCCCTGTAAATTTGTAAACCTTTTTGAAAATACAATACAGAAATTAACAATAGCAAATGCCAGCCATAAACACCCAATACTAGTAAATAAATCCAAAAGAAGCAAAAATGATCATGATGAAAGGTTACTGCAATAGCTGTGGGCACAATCTATTAACACCAAATACCAGAAAAACAGTCAAATGAATTAGGGCCCATCAACTCAATTAAACTCAGTAAAACTTGAGAAACAATAATATTAATCTATATATAACAATGCAAGATGAAGATATAAAGAAAAAAGCACAAAATCAATCAATCCATCTATACCAATCTGATTGCAATATTTACCTGGAAGTTAATAAGCATAAAACAAGTCACAGTTATGTTAGGATGATTTTTTAAATTGCTGTTCATATTTAAAATATTTACAAATTAGCTACCAACTTCTCAACATCATTCTGCCAATATTGCTAAGGAAAGCAGATTGCATTAGGTAACCTTGCTACCAAACTAAAAAAAAAAAAAAAAAAAAAGACATATACTAAACTGTATTCTTTTGATCAGTTTAGGATTGTGCTTATTAGATATGAATTACATGTTTAAAAGAATGATGGTAAGAAAGGAGACATAAATATTAGTCATTCCATACTTTTTAAAAAATTATGTCTATTAGTCTAAGATCATAATATGCCACAAACATTTTAAAAAATTAGTTTTAGTGTAAGAAATAAAATCAAGAATTAATAAACGTGATGGACTCAAACTAAAAAGCTTCTTCTCAAAAGAAACAATGAGGTGAAGGGAGAGCCTACATTTTGGGAGCAAATTTTCGTCACATGCATGTCCGATAGAGCACTAATCTCCAAGATATAATAAAGATCTCAAAAAACTTAACAGCAAAAAAACAAATAACCGAATCAATAAGTGGGCTAAGGAGCTAAACAGACACTTCTCAGAAGAAGGTATACACTCAGTCAACAAATATATGAAAAAAATGTTCAAAATCTCTAATAATTAGAGAAATGCAAATCAAAACTAAGATTTTATCTCATGCCAGTCAGAATGGCAGTTATCAAGAATACAAATAACAGCAAGTGTTGGTGAGGATGTGGGGGGAAAGGCACACTCATACACTGCTGGTGGGACTGCAAATTGGTGCAACCAATCTAGAAAGCAGTATGGAGATTTCTTAGAAAACTTGGAATGGAATCACCATTTGACCCAGCTATCCCACTCCTTGGTCTATATCCAAAGGACTTAAAATTAGCATACTATAATAGCACACACAGCCACATCAATGTTTATAGCAGCTCAATTCACAGTAGCTAAACTGTGGAACCAACTTAGATGCCCTTCAACAGATGAATGGATAAAGAAACTTTAGTATACATACACAATGGAATACTATTCAGCATTAAAAGAGAATAAAATTATGGTATTTGCAGGTATATAAATGGAGTTGGAGAATATCATGCTAAGCGAAGTAAGCCAATCAGTTTACTTCGCTTTAAACTTTTTTTTCCCAAAAAGCCAAAGGCCAAATGTTCTCTCTGATAAGTGGATGCTGATCCACAAGGGAGCAGGGGATGGGAAAAATGGAGGAATTTGATTGGACAAAGAGGTGGAAGAGGAGGGGAGGCATGGGGGCAGGAAATATGGTAGAATGAGATGGACATCATTACCCTAGGCACACGTATAACTGCACATATGGTATGTCACACATTGTGTACAATCAGAGAAATGAAAAGTTGTGCTGCAATTGCATACAATGAGTCAAAATGCATTCTGCTGTCATATATACCCGATTAGAATTAATTAATTAATTGATTTTTTAAAAGGATGGCATGTAGAAGGTGGGCTGGATGTAGTTAAAAGCATAGACAAAGCATTCATAGTAATAAGAAAGAAAATATATCATAAGATTACAAATTTCAGTGAGGGCAGTCAATGTTATGGTGAGAGAAGTGGGAGTTTTCTATTTATTTGCATTTTTCTCAATGAAATATAAAGTAAGATCTTAAACTGAGAATAAGAATTGGAAAGAAGGTAATAGGAGGGGAATGCTGAAATAAAAATTAGTTTCAGGGGAATTATATTAAAGTGTACGTCACTTTATAGATGCTACCTTTCTAACTTAGCTCTTGTCCTTATTATCTTCTTGCCTTCTCAATAACATTCCACATCCATCCCTATCTGTGATACTATAGCCTTTTCTCACACTCTACCCTGATCATAATCTGTATTCCAAATTACTATTTTATTTAGTATTTATTTCTCTTTCCATCATACTACAAAAGACACATATTTACTATAGAATTGAGTCTACAATTAGAAATGCACAAAGAAGAATGTTTTTGATTACCTTCAATCACAATACCCAGAAACAAAAACTAACCACAACGAAAACTCTATTAACATTTTCAGTATGGCTTTCAATGTTTCTTTCAAAATTGTCAACATATAGTACACAGTTTTATAATTCACTTTTTCTCTTAATATAACATTTACTGGGCCTCCCCAAGTCGCTGAGAAAAGGATTCAAATTCAAACACTTAATTTGCAAAGTTTAGAAATCCCATCAAAGAAGTGAGAAAATTCAGGGGGAAATTCAAGATGAACATCAAGCTTGCTATCTATCACTATGAGCAACTGGAGCTTAATCTCAAGAGAAAACTCTAGGAAGATTAATCTGCTCATAATTACCCACCCAAGAGAAAAGAGAGCTGGGGTAGTTCTATACCAACTTGTCAGTAACTGGTTGAGGAATACTCCAAGGCTGCCCTGCAGAGAGCTTCCTTGACTTCAAAGAAAGTCCTTAGGTAGAGATGCAAATACTGTGCAGGGTAGAAAAAGGCTGCCTTCATTCAAGTAGTAAGTAATAAAACCCAATACATATGCACCGACAGCATCTACTACACCACACATCTTCAAATACTATGCATCATTTGAAATTCTATAAATTAAAATGACTTGATATAAAACATAACTAATTTCTATCCAACACTTGATATTTGCAACCAAAGGTGACTCATGCTGTTTCCTGGGGAGTATGTCTAGAACTAACAGAAGCATATCATAAAACTGAAGGCAAACAAGGAAGAGCAAAACCATTAAGTTCAACTATATAAAATGCTTTTTTTTAACAGATCAAAAACTGTTGAATATCAGCAATTTCTTATGGTTCAACCTAATATATATTAAACTTCAATCATTTCCTTTTGGGGTTCTATAACTATTGTAGCGCCTTTTTAATCTCTCTTTTTTTTTTTTCCTTCCTTTCCTTTGCTCATGAGAAATCTTAGGCATAAGAACACAAACTAATGACTACTGGTACACTGAAAAGACAACTTTTCAGCTTTGGCCAGGCCATGTATGGGTAAATGAATGAATGAAGCAAAAAATTAGACTTACATAAAGAATATATCTTTTTCTTCTATTCCCCATGACTTCACTCTTTTCAACGAAGAGAAAAGCAATCATAAGTCTCAAAGGATAAATATACTAAATCATATCACATACTACATTACAAAACCAAGTCTGTGATAAAAATAATTAAAACACCATGTATATAAAATATTTATAAACCTCTTTGTTTTTCTTTATTTTTTAAATATATTCACTTTACACAGAAAGTACATGAATATAATATGCTTTCTTCTATATTTAGCAACTGTGAAAGAATTGAAAAAGAAGAAAGAAAAGGCAGATCTATGATCATCTTTACCTGCAAAAGGAGATTTCAATGTCGGACTATCCTCCACCATTAAACCTTCTTGTGTCTTGTGTCTTAACCTTTGCGTGTACTGCTGCATACATTCTGTGGAATGGATGGAATCTATAGGATTCACTTCATTTGACTGAGTGGTCTGAGTATCACCTTTGTGTTCAGAAGAGCACAATGGATCTTCAGTGGGCTGCTCTGCTTTTGTAGGGTCACTCCTAGACAATATGCTCAAACTGACAGCAGGAAACTTCAGAAGAGCAGGGTTTGGCTCATGGAAACTCAAGGCACTTGATACCCCAAGGTCATCATCCTCAGGAATGGGATTGTACCATATTTCTCCTTCATCATCTGCATCATTTTCCTCATTAAAATCTGAAGAGCAGTTTCTTGATAATGATGAGTTTGTAGCATTACACACCATATATGTACAGTATTCTTCAGATGATTTGAGGAAAGGATGTGATAGCTGATGTTTAGGAAGAGATACAGGTGAGATAGATAAATGACTCCAATCTTGGCATTTCCTATTTTCTTCTTCCAGATTAAAAGATCTCAKAGGACTTTGATATAACCAATTTCGTTTTTTTGAAACAGTGATACTGTTAAGTGACTTATGACCTCTGAATTCAATATTATCCTTCAGATCTTCAGATTCTCTTCTCTTCATTGAAGACCCATAGACATTTTCAAATAAATCTGTTTCAAAGAAGGAAAAAAAGATAGAATATAATGCCTAATATACCAGGAAATATATGGCACTTCAAACCAGTAGTTAAAATTTTTTAAAAGTAGAAAAGTAATATTAATCACAAAAAAAAAACAAAATCAAACCAGAAAAATTTTGGATTTTCCACCAAAACATGGTTTCCATTATCTAGAAATCAGACTGCTAGTATAGGTGTCATAAAATTCTAGGAAACAGAATATGCAAATTCTGATACTGCTTTTATTAAAAAACTACAGGATTAACAAAGCCTTACCAAGCAAAACAAATTTTATAAAAAGCTTATATAGAATGCTTTGTACACAGTATGACTAATCAATATTTGAATAATTTCCAACTCACTATTACTAGACCAAAATCATTAGAAAGAATAAGTAGTATTCCTAAATTTTCACACAAAGATTTACTTTCACCAACCTAACAAAAAAGTATACCTTACCTATTAAAATTTCAACATAACATTGGTTCCCTAACCATACAGCTCAGTAGTATCTTACGCAAAGTTTGAGTTCTATATAGCTGGAGCAAAAATTGAAATTAAGATCTCTTAAAGAGGCTGATTACAACCAACCATGCTGTCTCACAGTAAGCACAACAGCTATTATTATTACTGGCCAGATGCAAATTTAGGCAGCAGATAAATAATGAACAAAATAATCCCTGCCCCATAAGAAATTTATAGTCTACCCAAATACTCAAGATAATATACAGGTTAATACAATGTGATAATACCCTAAAAATATACATATAACACTATTTTCATCTTAAAAGGAAAATTTTGTGTCTCCAAAGAGGTGTGTGAAGCAACTTCACTTACCCTTCACTGATAGTGAATAATCTAAATATAATAATAATAATAATAATAATAATAATAATTCATTACACATATGTAATAAAAACCACATCTGTATAAATTTAAGACCATGTTAGGTTTTTAAATTATGGAATTATGGCCTTATGCTATTCTGGTTGTGTACATGGTTGATTCATCTTACTGTTACCGCAAATAAAAAATGATGTGGGGGGCCAGGGTTTTGGCTCAATGGTACAGCACTTGCCTATCATGCATGAGGCACTGGGTTCGATCCCTGGCACCACATGAAAATTAAAATAAAAATAAAAACAAATAAAATAAAGGTATTGTGTCCATTTACAACTAAATAAAATTTTTTAAAAGATGTAATAACAGTGATAAGCACATTAAGCTATGAGAATCTTAATAACAAAATTAGTTTCACACATAACAAGATGTTTAGTAACCTCTCTTCAACTGAAAGAAAAATCTTTAATAATGCAAAAAAAAAAAGCCCTTGTCTTTTTTAAACTCCTAAACATCTACCTAACCAAGCAGATTAATTAAAACATAAAAATCTTAAACACTAATTGGGGTTCAAGTTCAATTAGTTACAGAAGGGAAAGAAGCTCCATGAACTTCTACTACGTCTGCAATTTACTCGCTCATCAAATAAGTAACTATTATGTTCTAGAAATAAAGCAATAAGGAAGCCCCTAACCTCATTTTACCTCTACAACAATCTAATAAGTATAATTATCATATTATTGAAAAATATGAGGAATATGGTCAAGTCCCTAGTATTCAAAATTAAACCTAACCCTAAAACCCACATGTTTACCCCTTTCTCTATATCATGCTACCCATTAAGAACAGGGAAGCAGGTGACCCTCTCTCAACATGGGAYAGCATCACATTTATAATACAAAATGACTGCTGATAGAGACAGGAGGATTGCAAGTTCAAAGCCAGCCTCAGCAATGTATTGAGGCGCTAAGCAACTTGGTGAGACCCTATCTCAAAATAAAATATAAAAAGGGCTGGGGAGGTGGCTTAGTGGTTAAGTGCCCCTAGGTTCAATCCCCAGTAACAACAACAACAACAACAAAAATGGCTGCTGATAAATATTCGGAAATCTATAAAATAATAGGGGAAAAAAGTCAAAACCACCAAACTGGTAAAAGGAAGGGGCAGTACTGAAATTCTGACTTTAAACTTCATAGAAGTATACCTGGGCTGCTATCACTAAGGGATACCCATCTCCATCCCCCAGGATTGAATAAGCAAACATAACAAATACTCAACGAACATCATGAACTGATTATTTAATTTAATTAATGAAAAGGTGAAGATTTTCTAGAGTCTTTCTTTGGTTCTATTTCCTTTACACTTTATACTTAACTAAAAATCAAACACATGCTCAGGAATCACTTAAGCTTCTGGATTCTCAGTTATTACATGCTTTTGCCAAGTGTACTGAATCTAGATCAATTTTACATTTAAGCCCAAATCTCAAGCTATTATTCAATAGCTTTCAGACCTATACAGGATGTTATTTATAAGTAAACGTATATATATAATTTTGACACTAATTATAAATTTGAAGCAAAAGCTATAAAATTAAATAACTCACTGACTAAAAATAAAATAAGCAACAGTTTATTTTATCTTATTCTCAAACAGCTCTTTAGCCCTGAAAATTTTATAGAACTAGATACATTACTTTGAGTCACAGCAGAGTTTTTTGATGTATTATACACTGTGAATGATCCTTAAACATATGTCTACTTGTACTACACTTCAAAGAACTGCAATAAGAAAATAAAGCTACTAGCATCCCATATTCAAGCAAGGTGATACTTCTATTGATACAAGTATTTAACTGGAGTATAATACTAAAAGTAATAATTATAAGCCAGACATGGTGGTATATGACAGTGACTCAGGAGGCTGAGGCAGTATGTTTGCAAGTTCAAAGTCAGCCTCAGAAACTTATTGAGATCCTGTCTCACAATAAAAAATATAAAGAGATGGTGCTAGGGTTGGGGATGTGGCACAAGCCGTAGCGCGCTCGCATGGCATGCAYACGGCCCAGGTTCGATCCTCAGCACCACATACAAAGATGTTGTGTCCGCCAAAAACTAAAAAATAAATATTAAAAAAAAATCTAAATAAAAGTATTCTTATGAACATTGTATCAGATATTTGAATCTAGGCCTAAAATTCTCTCTCTTCCAAGATAAATCTAAAAGAAAGTAAGGCATAAAATGAAAAGGATTGGAGCACTTTTTCTTTTTTGTCCCTTGTAACTTGCAATAAAAACCTTTAAGCAAGTTGTGTTGCTTGCTTTTGAGACAAGAAAATAGAGAAGAAAACTGTGAGACTGTTTTTAGTTTCACTAAAGTAACTGAGAAAAGCCAGAGAAGCAAGAAAAAGATGCACAAAAGAAAAAATGAGCAGAATAAATAAGTACCCCTAAAGGGGATAATCTAGCTCAATTCCCAATGYTCAAGGCAGTCCTCCTAAACTTCCATTCTCACTCTCCATCCAGAATCCTAATGATCTGGTGCAAAAACAATATTCCACAAACCCTGCTTGCCTTCCTCTGGATTATAACAGCTAAATGCCAGGGGAAATACCAAATGGATTATCTTTATTCTTCCCCTCAACCTAAAGACTGAGGCCACAGAAAATTGAATAACTTGCCCAAGGTCACAAGACTGTAAAAGGGGCAGAGTCTGACCAGAAACTCAGAATCTCTATTATGTTAACCCTCTACTATATGGCCTCCTCTTTTGCAGATTCCAAAATCTAATATTTATTGATGCAAAATGAGACCAATATGAAGGGAACTGCAAAATCATCACATACTGTAAGCAGTGTTAAGACTGAAGCAGAAAGAACTCAAGTGCTTTAGTTTAAAGAGGTTGGTGTAAGTATGAAGTACTAGAATAAGGTAGAATGCTTTTTCAAAACTTTGTGGAGGCTGGGAGCAGTGGTGCACTCCTGTAATCCCAGCAGCTGGGGAGGCTGAGGCAGGCAGGATTGTGAGTTCAAAGCCAGCCTCAGCAAAAACGAGGCACTAAGCAACTCAGTAAGACTCYTGTCTCTAAATAAAATACAAAAAGATAGGACTGGGATTGTGGCTCAGTAGTCAGGTGACCCTGGGTTCAATCTCCAGTACTAAAAAATAAAAATAAAAATAAAAACTTTGGGGCTGGGATTGTGGCTCAGCGGTAGAGCGCTCGACAAGCATGGGTGGGACCCGGGTTCACTTCTCAGCACCACATAAAAATAAGGCATTGTGTTGTGTCCATCTACAAAAAATAAATTCTCTCTCTCAAAAAAAAAAAAAAAAAAGAAAGAAAGAAAGAAAAAGAAAAATCTTTGAAGTAATTAAAAAAAAAAAAAAAAACTTTGGAGAACATGAAAACTCTAGAATCTCACTACTGGGGGGTGCGCACGTGTGAGGCACCGGGTTCAATCATCAGCACCATATAAAAATAAAGACATTGTGTCCATCTACAACTAAAAAATATTTTTTTTAAAAAAAGTGTGGCCTGCCTAACAGCGTCATATACCTATACTGGAACTTTGTAAAAATGTAAAGTATCAAGTCCCAGACTACACTTATTCAAATCAGCATTTTAACAAGATTTAGGGAATCCATATGCACTTTAAGTTTGAAAAGCACTGCTCTCAAATCGTAAACTATACTTTGAACACTAAGAGTCTAGAAAATAGCTTTGGTGGTTCCCAAAAAATAAACAGGCATCTCTTGGGAATCATGGATCTAGAAACACAGGATTTTCAAATCAACACAACACTACTTTCTGCTGAATTTGTAATTCTAAAAGTTTTCCAGCCACCAGCAACTCCAAAGTTCCATGGCACACTTCCAAAAAAAAGGCAACTTGCCTCTAGAGTCACAATGGCAGACTCATATAGAGATTTAAAGGTAGAAGATTGTCAAGTAATATATGTCTTTCAGAGATTATATAGCAGGAAAAGTGGAGTCAAAGTATGCTAATCATTTTTAAAAGAAAAAAAGAGTTGAAAAAACTCAACCTGATGCTTCTGAATATATTTCTGTGAACTATATGCTAATCAAAACTTATTTATAAATGTTTATATTAATAAAGAACTGTTAGCAAATAAATTAAGATTCCTTCATAACTTYAAGGCTTGCAGAAACTTGACAATATTTACTATGTGTAATGACTTTAGATTTCTTAAATAACCATCTCAATTAAGAACAAATTGGCCAATCTGTGAACACAACATACTTAACTGCATCAAATCATTAGCATTATTATACCATCAAAAGTTTTAATGGTTCTTGGTAGGAAACAGAAATTAAAATAGAAAATCACTTTTGACTTCTATTTGTCATATGGTCTCAAAAATTTCAAAATAACTAATAGATTAGATATCTCTAACCCATTATATACTGTTATAAATCCCAAATATATTTATTTTGGGAGAAAAATATCCTCATGAGTAATATTACATAAAAAATATGATACAAACGTTTTAGAATACTTAACATCTTTTATATAACCAAGAATGTACTCCCTCATCTGGACTGTCCAAATTGTTTTTTTAAAAACATRATTTTTTTTTATCCCTTGTGGTGACACTGGGGATGGAACCTAGGACTGAGCATACTAAGCACATGCTCTACCACTGAACTACATCATCAATTCAAAAACATGATTCAAAACAGAATCTAAGCAATATCAATTTGAAGTAAGCAAATATTTGAAGGTAAAGATTTAAAATAAATATAGTAATTAATTTTTCAAGAAGTCTTAAAACCTATTCTAGGATTCCCCCATCTTTGCAATTTTGAAGAAGTTATTTATCCCTCTACACCTTGTCGAAATTCCATCCATCTCCTCAATTCAAGCAACTTGATGGTAATACAACAAACCTCTAAAGAACTCTGGAGTCTTTTTTACCTTACATAAATAGGGGTTGTTGAGTCATGAGACCTGAGGTTTAACTCACATAAGAGTCTGATTCCATATGCCAGGAGAGACACCTCAGAAAAACTACTTAACCTTTATGTTCCTTTTGTTGTTCTCAAGTAATAGTTGTCAAATCTCTATATTTGGGGGTGGAAAGGTTAAAAATTTATATAAGAATCATATAAACTACCCAGAATGGCTATAGTAAAACCAACTAACCTTCATTAAAAAATTTTTTTTTTACAAATACTCTCCTAATCTACATTAGATAAAAAAAAAAAACTACACAAATTATTTTCATGTTTCCTAAAAGATGAATTCATGATGTGAAASGAAGTTGTTTAAATCAAACATTATGGTAGCTTTTGCTTAGAGTTCTTATAAAATAAAATACTATCACAAAGAAATTCTAATATTTCATTTTAATTTCTTTTAAAGTTGTTAGCATTTTCATAATTACAGTCTTAATAAAAAATTCACTGCATTCATTCTTAAAGGAAATATTTTCATTTGTTAACTCCTTTGTTAGTGAAGGCATTAAAAGCCAACAGGTGGTAAATATTTTACCTCTGCAACAAAAGGGTAAAAGTATTTGACTAAAGATACAGGTTTCTGATTATGGCTGAAATTTAACTATCATACAAAGAGTTAATGAACCAAGATCAAAGAGGTAAAACTAATGTGGTAATAAAGTATAATAAGTGATTACAAATATTTTATTCCTGGAAACGCACATTTTAATGTGAATGTAGTATAAAGTAAACCTGTCTTCACAAAGATATTCTACTATTTATTTAAGTGTAACAGAATATTTAAACTTGAGGATAAAGTTTGACAGGCATTAGACTTAAAGATCCAAAAAACATTTAACTTTGCATATAATTTAAATGAATCATTTGATTTATCATCATTGCTTGATTAAAAGTTGTTAAATTTTTGTTTCTTCTCATTGTTGTCTGTACAATGGTTAATGTGTATTAACCCAATCCTGGGCACTTGTAATTCTTACCACAAATACTAAGACTACATTTTATATTTCAATACTTAATGTTTTTAAAAATATTACTAAAACGTAGGTCTTTATGTTCACTGAGATTTTTATATTTTAAATGTAGTTCAAAAAGCCATGTTGTTTTGTTCTTTTGTAAATAACAAATATTTGTTATTTACAACATAATTAAGAGATTCCTAGAATTGATAACCTAGACCTCCAGAGATAATTGAAAACCATGCACATTCAAAATAGGGAGCATAATGATATAAGAACAAATATACATTTCAAAAAACTAATTTACTTCTAATATGAATAGTTTATAAGTTTACAAATAATTTTAAGTGCCTGAAATTTTTTTAAAGTACCTTATGGACATTTTTCTTTTGATTACTATACCACTATCCTTGATTTTCCAATTTTCCACAATAAAAACATCACTCACCTCGTTGGAGTTTGTTGGTGTGAAGAAGATGTGAAATGCTACCTGACTAAAAAGAAACATTACTCATACCTTTAGTTTGTTTTGGTTGTGGTTGTGTGTGTGTCTGGTGTAAGCGTCTGAGAGAGAGAAGAAAAAAGGGAGTAATGAGTAAAATGACAGTTTATGAAGCCTGTAAAATCTACCTTGGATCAAATTCAAATTCACAAACTCCACAAAAGTCTCCGGATTTGCCTGGAGCTACAGAGAAAAAAATCAAGGCAGCGCCGCCCCTCTCTCAACCTACGAAAAGCGTGTGGCGAACTTAACCTTTACTCATTGTACTAAGGGAGTGGGCGCACCAGTTTTAGGAGAAGAAATTAAAAAAAAAAAAATCTGCATGCCACTGTCGAAAAAAAAGAAAGCAAAAGAGTGAATGTGAATGCATCACACTAAATAACCTCGACATCGCTTTAAATTGCCACCTATATGACACTTATTTTAGCACAGTCACGTATCTGTCTGCAAAAACACACTTTATTCTTGGCTCTAAAGACAGGCGCGGTGGGTAAACACTAAGGCTTGCGGTGCTAGCAAACAGACTGCAAAGTATCCTACCTGTCAATGTAATTCTTTGATCGGGAGGCACCGAGAGGATGGGGTTTTCATGCACTTTCAAAGTGCCCAGGTTAGGAGAAGTAGCCTGCGCCACCGGGACTTTAGAAGGTGTCCCACGAACGCGACCCTTCATTCCCAGGGACAGCAGGCGACCTTTGTACATCCACTTCTGCAGCTTCTTGACTGTGACTGTGGACGGCTTCAGGGTGGGGGAGCCCTCCTGGCGGTCTTCTTGACCCCTGCGGATCACAGAGGGCCCCGCAGGATGCCTGAAAGGACTTCTCGAGGAGCTGCCGAGGTCCTTGGAGCCCGGAGACAAGAGGCCAGCGGATGCTGCGGCCCGGGCGCTGCCCCCGCTCCAGCCTTCCATCCTGCCTCCACGTGGCGGGGACTCGTCTGGGTCCCCGCGCTCGCCGCACCTGATCCAGCTGTCGCTCGGCCACCGCTGTAAAGGAAGAGGCTTGGAGCCCACCCGGAGGCTCTCAAGGCTTCTGCTGCAGGACAGCCTCATTCGAGGAGTCCGAGGCCGGACTCCCTCAGGCTCCCTCGGAGGCGACCAGGGCGGGGACACCTGCTGCGGAGGGCAGTCGCCGCCTCCCAACTCCCAATCTCCGGGGCAGGCTCTGCAGTCCGCAGCGTCGCGGGGGAAAGGTAGCTGGCCAGGAGCCCCGGCTCCCGCGAGGCAACCGCGATCCGCCAACCCCCCGCCGCTCCGCCGCGTGCCTGAGTCAGGGGGTAGGTCGTGCATGGCCTGGATCAGCAGATAATAGGCCTCTCGCAACTGGGTTTGCAGCCTGCCGGTCTCCAGGAGGCCGCCCTCCACCCCCGAGGAGGAGCCCGCCGCAGGGGGAGGCGGGGGCCACAGCTCCGCCTCCGCCCCCTCAGGCGCTGGCGCGGCCACGGATTGTGAGCCGCCGGGCAGGTTCTCGTAGTAGTCGGCGTTGTAGTCGGCGTCGTCATCCTCCTCCTCCTCCTCTCCACTGCCTTCGAAGCTCAGCGCGGCGTGCAGAGTGGCGCGAGCTAGCCGGCGACCCGGGAGAGGGACCGCCTGCCCGCTGCGCGGCCGAGGGGCGAGCGCCCCCGACCGCGCCGAGGACCCTCTAGCGCCGCGCGCCTCAGGTGACGGCGGGGGCTGCGTCCAGCTTGGCCCAGTTGCGCCGGCGTGCTCGCACGGGGGACAGTCCTGGGCACACCAGGTGTCTCCTAGGGTTGCGGAGGAGGCCGCCACCGCAGCTGCAGCGGCCGCCCGGAATCCGAGCCCCCCGGCGATGCGGGGACCCCTCCTCTCCCGGAGTTTGGACAGAGTCCTCCTCAGAGGGTCCGCCATCCCCTTCTCCTCAGCAACTGGGCTCGCCCGGGTCGCGGGGAGAGGTCGGAGCCCCGTTGTGGAGAAAGCAGCGCTCAAGGAGGCGGCGGCGGTGGCGGCAGCGGCAGTTCCCCATGACCGGCGCTGGCCCTTGCCGGCTCCTCACATACTTGGCATAACTCTGCCGCGGGAAGGCGTGGGGGAGGGCGGTAGCGCCGCAGCGCGCATGCCCCGAGGGACTGGCCGCAATGGGGCGCGGGCCCGGGGCAAAGAGCTGCGTTCCCGAGGTGGGCGCGCGGCAGGTAGATTCCGGGGGCGCGCGGAGGGCGGTGGGTTAGGGTTGAGCTAAAGACCGCGGAGGGGAGCGGGAGTTACCGCACGCGACGCTTGGAGAGCTGTGAGTGGAAGTTGGGGTAAAAAAGTTCCAGCCGGAAGGTGAATCTGGGCTTGGCAGCTCCAAAGTTTTAACCAAAGAAAGGGAAAGTGCTCTCCCAGCTGCTACCCCGCCACCTTCACCAGCCCCTCCCCATTGCCACCACTGCTCGAGGAGTGTCTTAGATACTGCAAGTCCTAGCTTGAGAGAAAACAAAAAGATTGTTTTGACGGACAAAGTTAAGAGTGCAGGTGTATCTCACTTAGTGCAATGTGTTCTAGAAATGATCCTATCATGTTAACCTCACAGAGGTCTTGATATTGAAAGGAAATTTGCAGCGATTCCTTTTCAATAATTCCTTTTGTTTCCGGACACGTTGGTGCACACTTGTAATCATAGCAACTTGGGAAGTTGGCAGAAGGATCGCAAATTCTAGGCCAACCTCAGCAACTTAGCTAAGCCATAAGCAGTTTAACAAAATCCTGTCTCMAGATGTGGCTCAGTGGTAGAGCACCGCTGGATTTAATCCCCAGTATTTTAAAAAAAAAAAAAAAAAAATTGTCCAAAAAATCACCACAGATTTCTTAAGTCTACCTTTTCTTTTTTTTTTTTATTAGTGCATGCTGCAGCATTAATTATTAGATAATCAAAACTGGCAAAATGGACCTACATATTTAATGGKGTCCCCCATCAGCCCGCCTCCAAGCCTACCAAATTAAAAATACAAGTTTGCAGCTTTCAATTATTTTTTAATTACCTTTATTTTAATTCATATGTTGGGCTGAGACACAATTGAAGTGAAATCGAGAAAMAATGTAATTTGGAAATACCAACTCCCCCAAATATGAAATCCCATGATCAGTATAACACTATTAAACTAAAGGAGTTCTTGTTGCCACATATTAATTAATTGATCCATCAGTGATAGAAAAATCAGTCACCACCAAATCAGATTTCAGATCTTTTAATTTTTATGTATTGGAAAGGGCTCTTGTCTAAACTACTCATAAATGTACCTAACACCTTGCACAGTACCTGCACTTAGTAGGTACTCAAGAATAAATAAATGCTAATGTTACTGAGTGAAAAAAAATAACTTGGCCCTAATTTATCTTACTTCATAACTATATTTCCCTGTGTAAGTTGTGTTATTGTTTGCATCAGAGGCTCTGCCCTCTAAATTTGCTTTGATTTATACTACCTTTAATACCAAGTCTGTCTGTCATCTGGAATAATTTTATCTGCATCTGTATTTGCAAAAATCTTACTGATCCTTTACATTCAGTTTCCTTCACTATAAGGTCATCTTTGATCTCCCAGATGGACCTGATCTCAAGTTCTTCCAAACTCCAATAGTGTTTTATTCCTACCCAGCACCACAACCCTCTGGTATATTTATAGCAGGGGAGGAAGGATATGTGTTTGTTGTTTTATATAATTTGTGTGCATTTCTTACCTCCCTTAAAAGAAAATCCATAAATTCCCTAAGGGCAGAGACTATAGTTGATCAGTGTATTCTCCACAAACTACAACATCTTAAATACTGTATTACTTAATACTTAATAATTACTTAGTACTTAAATACTGTAAAAAAAAGTTTTGTTTTTCCTGTGGTGCTGGGGATCATACCCAGGGCCTCAAGCTTGATAGGCAAACACTGAACTGCATCTGCAGCCCTACCRTCTGTGATGAATAAATATTTTCAAATTACTATCAATTTTAATTTAAAGAAAACAAACGACTTTAATTTCCAGTCTATTGCCTAACTCTCCACTAGACCATACTTCATTGGTGTTGTTTTAAAAATTAGTGATGGATAAGAAACACAGTTTGTTAAATAATCTTAATTCTTATCTAGAAAAATACTATGAAATGTTACACTGTAATGTGCATACATTCATATTTATTATTCTACAATATTTTCATCCCATGGACCTAAGGTTATTTAATGAATACTCAAAGCATAAAATTGTTTCCCAGTAAAATATTCCCACAGGAAATGACTGATAACAAAGCTGCCAGTAAGGGTGTCTATAAACACAATTTGATCTCTATCTCAGAAATTGTTTCCATTCCAACTCTGTTGCAAAATCTTTTCATTCTTTGTAGTTAATAGAATTTTTAAAAACATCATAAGCTGCATATGTATATTTACATATATAAATAGGTCTAGGTTAAACGTCATCCTTAATTCAACTTGTCAACTTGTTCAGGAGTTATAAAATATTAGTCAGTATAATATACTATTCATTTTTCTAGGTATTACTCAAAATCAAGTCTGATGCAACACACCACACCTAAAYTCGATATTACTTTAAAATTGAGAATGTTCCATCACATGAATTCACAATTTTAACATTTTGAGTCACAACAAATTAACAAGGCACTTGTGGTCATGGATACTAATTTTAAAAATATAAATCCCACTTTTCTATGTGTGCATTAATTTCAATAAAAAGTTTGTGGAAGTATAATTCTAAGGAAATAGTACCCACAGAACTTACATTATACATAATTCAGAAAGTAACAAAATATGAACATAAGCTATACTTTCAAGATCTTTCATTTTAGCAATTTATGCCCTGTTCTCTCACATATCAATTTTCTTATCTTTCTAATCATCAGATTACTATGAAAATTAGGGGATAAGTATACATCTTCCTGTGTTTATACTTGTTTTTCAATGACTTGGAAATAATTTTGATGCCCCACAAATTAACAACTGTGTGTTGGCACTGTCACAAAAGATATAACAACTATGGGATAGTAGGGATTCAGTAAGGCAGGGAGCCAAACTAGGGAGGGGGAAATACTGACTCAGTCTGGGAGAAGGGGAAAAAAAGCAGGGCAGGTTGAGGCAGAAGGCTAAGTTTAACAGCAATGGAAGGGAAGTGTCTATGTATGTTACAGTTATTTTTTAGGTCATTTAGAGTGTGTTTGTCTCACTGGTGCTCAGTCTTCCATTGTACTCTTACTGGAACCAAAAGCAAGTTTCACTATGGCATTTGCCCAATTCTTTCTCCCTAAACTATCTCACAAGCAGTTCCATCAGTAAGGAGTAAAAGGTACATTGGCCTAAACCATATACTAAACTACACTGAGAGTCATGACATATATGGCATGTTCTTCATACAGCAATTTTTACTGTTTCATAATTAACAATATGTGGCAATTTATAACTTATTACTATCTCCAGTCAARGAGACTTTTCCTATATGTATGCATGTGAGTGCTCTAACATTTATAAATGTACACTTTTTTAGAATATTCACAGATATTTCAGATTCCCTATCATATACATGTGATATGTAGAGTAACTTGCTCAAGTTAACCATAATAAGGGAAGAAGAATTCAATCCTTTCTGTCTGATACCAAAATTACTACACCCCTGCAGCATTTCCTTAAACATAAATAGAGACAAGGCATTTGCTGTAATAGTACTTGCACTGACTTGAACCTTTGTTTTTATAAATTATTTAGTTGATCACCTTCCCAGAAGTTTAATATTTTATGAGCTTTTTGTCAAATGTATCTGAACATTGGAAAGCTGCTTGTTGAACATTTTAATTTTTTCTCAATTCAGTCCTCTTCAAGGCTATTAGAACTAAATTCTTTATTTCCACTTAATTGTAAATCTATTTTCATTGAACCACAATGTGGAATTTCATCCTGATTGTAAGATAAGCTATAACTAAATACTTCAAAGGGAATATAAAGGGATCCTTTTGACCTAAAGCTCTCAGATAAACCTTTTTCAAGACCAGAATATATGGGCTGGGTGCAGTGGCGCATACCTATAATCTTAGCAACATGGGAGGCTAAGACAGGAGGATTATAAATTCAAGGCCAGCCTCAGCAATTTAGTGAGACCCTATCTCAAAATAAAAATAAAAATGACTAGGGATGTAGCTCAGTGGTAAGGTACCCTAGGTTCACTCGCCAGTACCAAAAAAAAAAAGTAAAGGGAAATTCAGCTCACCTTTTTTTTTCTTTTTTTTTTCTTTTTTTTTAATTGGTTGTTCACAACATTACAAAGCTCTTGACATCTCATATTTTATACATTAGAATCAAGTGGGTTATGAA